GATGTTTAACTGTAGCACCATCAGCTCCTTTAGCTTTTTTGACCTCTAAAGCTTGCTTGTCTTCTTCATATAACCATTTTAGAGGAATATAAGAATATAACTTTGGTCTTAAACCACAATATTCATACATAATATGACCATCTAATTCGTCTTTAAACTTGCCAGTGACTTTTTTATTTTTATCAGAGTATAAGAAATGGTCTTTACTATATCCAGAGGTATCAAAAAAGTGCAAGTCACATTCTATTTCCTTGTAAAAGTCCTCTGTAACTATAGAATACATTAAAGAATCTGTATCTGTCATAAGAAATCTTTTGTTCTTAAATTTTGACATATAATTATAGTGGAAATCATACATTATTACTTTACTGATATCTAAAATGGTCATTCCTAAATATATCGGCTTATTAAACTTTACAACTAATTTATTTAAATGTATAGCATGTAAATTGTTATCGAACTTTTTGCTACAGTCGAACCTTGGATTAGTGACATATTTAGTTAATAGTGACTCATCCTTGAGATATATATCACGAAACTTGCGTTGGTTCATAATTGTTCGACCAAAGAGACTATTATTTAACAATTTGTAAAAGTCTTTTTCAAAATCATTTTTAGCACATTTGCGTTTTTCAATATTAAAATTAATATAGGGCGCAAGCCATTTAGACTGTCTAAATTTTAAAATTCTATAGTATTTTGTAGCAACCAAACCTAATTCCTCATATTTTTGTAATGCTTTATAATGTAAAATATATTTAGTTTTGTCATTTAAATTAGGTATTAATTTGCCATTCATTTTCTCAGGTGCTAATGGATAGTCATTATGTAAATCATGTAAGCTTTTATCGTATTTTAAATCAACTTCTAAGATATATCCAAACTCATCATTTTGATTGTTTTTGTATATTTTGTAGTCTATCTCATTCGTCCAACGAAATCCATCCACGGGTAGTGTCTCACACATAGCTGTGGAGTATAGCGAGTTACAATCTAAATATACTAAATACACACTCTCTTGTTTGGGGTCATAATGTTTGCCCATATATCTATTATTGGCTTTAGCGTAACGTGTAGAAATCATACTGACTCCTCCTCTGATTGCACTTTCTATGAACAAATGCATGTCAATATCTTGAAATAATTGTAATTTTATACCAGTCATTCTAAGACAAGCTTCCCATGTTAGTCCTGGAAGTGAATACATGTGTACGGGGTCAAGTTTGTAATCCTTTAAACACAGGTCTCTAAATGTCTCAAACACATCAGCCAGTAGCAATACATCTGTTTTAAGATATAAATCATGATATTCTTGTAAATTATGTATATTAAAATGGGTCCAGATATGTTTTGCATGTTCATATTCGATGGGAGAGATATGTTCTTTAGTTAAAGTACTGTAAAATTTTTCAATTGGAGGTAGAGACTCTGCAAACTTATCTGGTCCTGTCATATATTCATAGGGAAATACGCCTTTGCGTTGTAGTAGTGGATTGTCTATAAATCTAAATGTATTTAAATTGGAAGCTAATTTGTATAATGGAAGGGACAGAAAGTTATAGGAATCTAAAAATACTAAATCATCAACAGAGAATGAAATGTACTTTTCCATATCTTTGGCTATGCAATTTAATTTACGATTATATTTTCCCAAGTGTTGCATTATTAAATGTCCATCGTAATTTTTCAAGTTATGGAAGAATACTGGTATTTTCTTTGTTACTTTATAGTTTAAATTACAATCATTGTGGGCAGCTCCACGGTATTGGCCATTTGAATGACAATGTTCTCGTACCCTATCAAAATATAGAGGCTTTTCACAAATATGACAATGTGTTGAGTTTTGGAAAGATGCCTCTTGCTCAGGAGTCATTACAAGGGGAATATATATCGCCATTTGACTTTTAATAAAATCATAAGTCTCAAATAATCTTTCAAAAAACACATCCATAACATTTGCACCACTATATAACTCTTCAGAAATAATCTTAGAATCTTTTACTACGACAAATGCAAATCCCGATGGAATATGTATATTGGAGTTTATAAAGCACTCAAAATCAGCATAAATCACAAATGGGGCTTTAAGTTGATATTTATAATTTTTAAATTGTAATGTATCTTGTTTAGACATTTCCACTCTTTGTGCATCAAAGTTCTTACAATATGTTATATGACATTCTAATTTATCTTTGGTGTAAAAATGTTGTAAACAAAACTTGCAAAAATACTTCTTGTGGTCTTGTTTCGTAGACCGTAGCATTAACCTATCAAAATCACGAATTAAACAGTAATGTGATTTACGACCTTGTAGTAATAATAATAGATCTATGTGAGCATTACTATTCAGTTTGGTTCTTCTTAATGGATATATAAATTTTTGGTCTTCAACTCCAAATACATTAACACTTATATTATTTTGTCTTTCAAATTTATCTATATCAGATATTTTAACAGGATACTTTATGTTTGTCATATTTAACTGATTTTCATAGGGTGCATATTTCGATACCCTTTCAGCATGTTTAGCATTCCTTGGATGTAAAGCTGCTAAAATTGACCAAAGGAAGCATTTATTATCAACATTCTTTATATTTAAAACTGCTTTTGTCAATTTAATACTTTTTGGTGTGGGGATATATGACTTTGGAGTTAGGGGCTTATACTTGTAAACGTGCAACTGCCAATATTTAGTATGGTCATAAATCCATCCACTGCCTTCGGCTTGATATTTGTGTATGGAAGCATCAATCTTTAAAAGAGCATTTTCAATTTGAGGCTTTAAATCTCTCTTCTCAATGGTTAAGGTAGTAAGGCTTCTAAAATCTGCAATACATTCTTTTTCATTAACTAATTTTCCATTTTGATCCATTGAATATTTTATAAATTTGATTCTCCTAACTAAAGTCCATTTTATCGGCAGAGGACAAGACTTCAGAGTACTTTCAAGGTCAGTTCTAATCGATTCACCGACAAATTTAATCATTGTATATGGACATTTTATGCAAGAATTGGCGTGTCTTTTAAAATGTCCAACAACATTCGTTTTACAGAAATTACAAGTCTTGTGACTTTGTAATATATGTGATTTTAAAGCCACATTATTATCACAGATTAAATTGCAAACTTTGCACAGTTTCACCTTCATTTTATGAATTACCTTGTAGTGGCGAATCAGGTTACTTTTGGTGGAGAGCGACACGGAGCAGTGTTGACAGGTCGGCATCATGCACGAGAATGAGGTCTTGGGCCAATGCCACCTCTATTTATAGATTTTTTTGAAATTTGCAAAATTTTTTACCAGAAATTGTGAAATTTTCTAAATTTTTTACTAGAAATTAAAAAATTTCAAACAATTTAACTAAAAATTACTTCAACAGGAGGTCTCCCAACTAGGACTAGACCACTAGAGACAAGAAGACCGACCATGGGTCAGGAGCAGGACCATGAGCCGGGAGCGCGCACGAGTTCGCGTACAAACCTCGCACTGTCAAGTTGATGATTTTGAGAATATACATGTGAATGCATGTGGATTTGAAATAGTAATGAAGTTATACAATGGTATTGATCATTTATATAGGCTTGTATTGGTCGAGAGCTGGATTTTTAAAAAAGTGGTCAAAAAAAGCTCACCATGTTATTCTTATGGGGAAAACGTGCCTAAAGTGGTGTCATATTGTCCTATTGTATCTACTTTAAATGTACACTTGTAAGGGTAAATAAATGTAAGAAATAGCTTTTTTAGCTTAATATCGAATATATTTATAGGGAATAAGTAAGAAATAAGGTTTGACAATTATATAGGGATATTTAGGCAAAGATCAGGATTTTTGGTTTTGGTGGCCAAAAAATGATCCCCATGTTATTCTTATGGGAAAAAACGCCCCAAGTGCTGTTAAACCGGTAGTTCTCCACTACTTAGGTCATAGTTTTTTATACCAAAATTAAACATTTATAAGCTATTTTGTAGTTGTTATGTAATTTATATGGTTAAATCCACAAGCCAAACTATTATACAAAATAATTTTACAGTCGAATAAAGTCTAAATAATAGCAAAGAAAGTTGATCTTTGTTTAGTTTTCTGAATAGTTTTGTTAAAGTATAAAATAATGGTAGGGCATACATCTGTGAGTCAACTACTTATTTGATTTAAACGTAAATTAAACACATTTTTTAGAAATAAACATTATGAAAATACTTTTATAAATTTATTAAAACCCACTTTTGATTAATAAAAGTGATACAGAACATTATAGGTATTACATTTGTTTCCTATTTTTTTAAGCCAGGGGGTGCAAGTGCACCCCCCTGTGGGCGCCCATGTACCTATTAGCATTGACGACTATTTGGTTGTATCTAAGGGAGTATGTTTTATCTATGGTTGTATTAATAGTCAAAGCTCGAGGAATTTTTAAGTTGTAACGTTATGGAATGTTGAAGCAGTTATTGTTTGAAGGGTGGTTGAAGTTAATGGATGTCTATATGCTCATATATTCTGTATCGGACCCCTGGTCCATTAACTCCAAGGCATGGCAATCAATGATGGCATGTCTTCTTCAGTATGAGAATAAGAATGAGAGAATGAGAATGAGAATGATTTATTTCCTGAAAGCATGATATGTAAAGGTATCTAAAGGACAGTATCTAAAGGAAAAGCATTCTAAAGCCGTGTTACATTCCGGTTACCTTATTATACAAACTAACTGTTTTATAAATTCCTGTTTATCGAACACGTTTGTTTAGTTTAACCCTTTCTGACTGGTATGGAGTCTCACAAATCTTCTTCGCCCTTACAGACATCTTAGGCCTAGTCCAAGGCCACTCCACTCAGTGACGGCTGTGCTACACTGGTAAGTGCTAATTGCTAAAGCTAACTCTCTCTGAATTATGCTGTGCTGTATCACGGCCACCCTTAACTCCAGGGCGCGGCCTGAGAATTGGCAACGTTGCCAAGAAAGTAGTGTTGTCTTGTCTAGCGTCAGACGTCGCATAAGATAACATGGCAGTCAGGTGACACCAGCTCATTAATTTGCGTATTATTCATTAAAACTTAAATTTATGAACCTAAATGTATTAAAAGATTGAAAATAAAACATATCTAATTGAAAACCAAAACAATATTTAAATTGAAAATCTATTTTTGTTTATTTAAAGAGGAGTCAATATTTTCATTGCTTAGTAAACAAGCTTTTATATGATAAAAAAATACACAAATACCATTCCCCATTAGCTGCCTCCAAAACGAAACAGCTGTTGCAACCTTACTTGCGATGTTATCACTTCGAGGCCGCGGCTTGGAGTTAAAGGTGGCCGTGTTTTAGTTCATGTTTTCATAATGTGAATTCGAGTTTTACTGGAAAACGTCTAACCACCTCAGGTTATTAAAAAGGAAAGAAAAAAGTAATTTACTTAACTAGTATTTCCTTCAAGAAAGCCCAGGAAAAATATAGAACAGTCATGATATAAAGTAAAATAAGTGGGGTTACATGGTTAGGTGAACCAAGCCAGTTAAAAAAAAAACTTGAATAGAAGAAGAAGAACTATAAATGTGTCAATCTAAAAATCTAAATCTAGTCATCTAGTGTGATGTGATGTGAATCTTCTTTATGTTTTTTAATTTAATTTTGAATCTGTAGATCCCTAACAACTGAAATCGAAAATCGAGTGCTATACATTTTAAGAAGCTGCTAACTGAAACAGATTGTTACTATCAGGGAAAATTATTCCTCCGTAAGCCATTGTTTGGAGTTTGATGTAGCATAACAGCTTACAAAGGATAGGCTATCACTATGTAAGTATTACCGGTACCTAACCTGTAAACGTTTTTTTGGATAAAGTTTCTTTCTTTCTTATTAAAGTTAATGACTTGTAGACCCTTTAATTTATCAATGTATATCCTACAACATATTCAACAACTCAACATATCCTACAACACTTTATGTGTCTTTAAATGATTGCTTATAATGTTTCATTTTCAATAACTTGTATGTCAGCCTACCCTGATAAGGTAGAAATAGCAATCAGAGAGCAATACATTTTTTTTTTCAAAATGTGAAACTATAATATTCTGAATCAGCTAAGGTACTAATCAGCTTAGATCTTACATCCTTCCCAAATGTTATAACAACTACCCTCTTTGTTACAAAAGCGACGTATCAGTGATCACTAATCAGTGTGTATCATTTGCATGGCAGGTGGGAGCAGATTAGATTCTTGTATTCGTTTAAATAGTATTATAAAAGGTTTAAATACCTGCTATTAAGCAATCCAATTTTGTTGTTGACACAACTAGTTTCGGTGTCTGTGTGACACCATCATCAGGCTGCACAAGGACAGTTTTCTTTCTTCATACGAAGAGCGTCATATTTACACGAAAATAATAAATAAACATTTAAACACGACACAAACACGAATACGAGACATTTATGGTAACTGATCAGTTAAGAAAACAGACAAAGACGACGCTAACCCGACGGAGTTTGAGTCCAGACTGCGGGTGGTCAGTGCAGTGGTGTACGTCCGTTATCTTATCATCCCAGGTTGCGTCCTGTCATTCACTCAATCACACCTCCCCTCTCCAGTAAACCGATGGCGGTGTCATACATAAAATTAGACGAGAAAAATTGTTGGTCATTTAGTACATTATGGTGGTCGGATTTTACTGCCTTATATATCTCGAACTCTTCCAATGTGTTAATTTTATATCTGTCTTTAGAAAAATGTAGAATATCCATATTGCTGCTAATGTTGGTATAATTGTGGCCTTGGGATATTAAATGCTCGGCAAAAGATGATGTTTGGTGGGCTGTTGACGCTTTTGGAATATGCTCTTTGAATCTTTTTGTAAAGGAACGTGCTGTTTGACCGATGATTGAGTGAATGACAGGACGCAACCTGGGATGATAAGATAACGGACGTACACCACTGCACTGACCACCCGCAGTCTGGACTCAAACTCCGTCGGGTTAGCGTCGTCTGTTTTCTTAACTGATCAGTTACCACAAATGTCTCGTATTCGTGTTTGTGTCGTGTTTAAATGTTTATTTATTATTTTCGTGTAAATATGACGCTCTTCGTATGAAGAAAGAAAACTGTCCTTGTGCAGCCTGATGATGGTGTCACACAGACACCGAAACTAGTTGTGTCAACAACAAAATTGGATTGCTTAATAGCAGGTATTTAAACCTTTTATAATATTATTTGGCAATCCGGAGGCTAACAACTACAATGAAGTTTAAATAGTGTTTCTTGCATCTGGTACCAGGTGAAACTGTGCCGTAATAAACCAGAAGTCAAGGAATCAGGGTTGGTTTTAGAGTTCTACTCTCAGAACTGTATTTTGTTTGACCCCTCTCAAAAATGAGTGATATTAGGCGACTCAGGAGCACCTAGACTAAGCTGCAAAAATTAGTGGCTGATTAGGCTATAGGCTATGCACAATTTGTGTGTTGGATCTCCGTCAAGATGCAGGCAAGATGATTTAAAAAATTCAAGCTGGTTCTTGCTTAACTCCAGATATTTTTGAGTTGCTTTTAATTAGTAAGTTATCAATCAAGAGTCGTCTTGAGACATTGTGAGATGGATTTAGCCTATTTATGCTAACTGAAAGGCTGAAAGGTTAGAGTAATTATTAGCCTACTGTTTATAACACTATAGTAATTAGCTAATTCAATTATTTTTCAGGGATTGGAAAAAACAATACTCTGCTGCTGTTGAAAAAAACCGAGACTGGCGAGACTTGTACGCTCTGGTATCTGGGAGGAAGGGCAGACCTCCCGTTGAATATGTGACGAAAGAGCTTAGCAAAAACAAAGACAGAATAATAAGTGGTCTCAAGTACTTCCAGTCCCAAGAAGTTAAATCCTCGGCTCAGAAGGACAATAGTTTGTTCAGTGAAAGTGGTAGCGGTTGGAGTAAAGATGCAAAAAACGATCTAACAGCGCCCTCTTTGATCAACAAGCTTAATTTAATGACTGTAAGTTATTGTGGATGAACTACTAAACTATTGTGCTTGATTTTACAGACATAGGCTAATAGTTAAAAACTTGCAAAGTGCCATAGCTTTTACCTATAAACTTTACAATTTAGTAAGTTTTAAAAAGTACACTTTCTTAAACATGTTTGTTTTTAAATTTTTCAAATTGATTTGTTTTCCAGACTATAGTTAGTACCGGTACTGTACTTGTCATAACATGAAAAATGTACAATAGTAGTTTGAATACACTAAGCCTAATTTAAAAGATATTTTTGCATTTTGGTTTTTGTAGTTAAAGTCCTTACATTTAAAACATGTTGCTTACTCGTTGCATTTAAAATTATGTAAAATAGTACAGATTGGAAGGAAACAGTTTTTTAATTAAGTAAGACATTAATTTTTGGATTTAACCAGTAAAAACATCAGTTTGCTGAAATCACCAGGTAAAGTGGGTTTCCTAGAAATGACTTTTAGAAACTACTCATTGAATCCTTTTACAGGCCTATTGATATTTATGTTATCTTTCAGGGAATGGAATCTGGTCTAGCATGGGAAGTCCTATCCAACTACTTGCAGTATGCTTTCCGAGGACCTCCAGACAGTCTTCAAAAACTGTTGGCTCAAAATGAGGAAAAAGCACAAGGAGTAATTGCGGATCTATTCTGCTTTTACTTCAGAGAAAGAATGTTTATTTTGAAAATTCTCTATTACATTCTCACAAATACTGATGGGGATCTGTACAGTGTAAGTGCAATTTATTATCCTAATAACGGTATTACCTATTCTAACTGTTATCTCAATTTCTACAAGTTTTGTGTGAACTCAAGAAAGTAATTTCTCAATTAGGCCTACTGCTAATGCCAAAACATCATGGTGCATCATTCAAGGGGAAGAAGTATGAGTTAAAGTTAATAGGCCTAATGAATAACATGAAGGAAAGTTAAATTAAAGTGTAGAGTACCGGTATGACTTTAGTACCAGTAATCTTTTGTGATATTTTCTACTTCTCTACCTTGTAGTGAACCACAAGCACAACTAGTTAATGTTCAATTTAGACCTTCCCTCCCATTAAATTGCTATATTCTGATGTGTTTAATAGATTTATTGCTATTACATAATATGTGTTATGAGCTTCACCTACTTATAACTATCAAAGTCTTAAACGGTTTTTAAAAGGGATAGAGTTCAGCTAGCAGAAATTTTGCCATGAACATACAAAAGCTTAGCTGGCTCTCTTCTGAGAGTAGACTGAAACCATATTAGTAGAAAATAACAATCATTATTATGTTTTGTGACCTCTTTTTGTCTGTCTATATCAGCAAATATATAATAGAAACCGTATATACCTTTGTCTGTCTTCAGTCATCTGTGTTTAGTCCTAGTCGTCATCATCGGCTGGATCTTTCAAAAATGAAGCCTTCGTATATATATATATATATATATATATATATCAGCAATTTATTCATAAGAAGTTTGCCTGTCTCACTAAAAAAATATCAAAACAAAACACATTTTTTGAAGAAACTAAAATCATTCTAAATTAATCTAGCTCCCTAGTATAGATGAGTTTCTAAATCAAAAATGAATTAGCTATCCATTCTAAAATAATTGTTAAATTGTATATTTAAGTCTTTTAGATTAAATTGTATAACTAATTTTGTATGCTTTGACACCATTCATGTATGTAAAATGTATAAAAATAATAAAGATAATTTGATTTCATTTTTAACTTTCTATATTAGCCCCTGAAATCTAATTTTAAAGTATCTTGCTTCACTCAATCCCTTTTCAAAAACTTTCTAATCAGCCTTGTCTGTATGGCCTACTTTTACATATCAAAAGCTTTTAAGTATTTTCATGCAACATGTAAATTGCATAATTGTAGTAGCTAATCGTTATGGCTTTGACATTTATGTTGCAGGCTGCATTCCGAGACTTTATCAAGGACAACATCAAGTTCCGGGAGTTGTACGAGTCACTGTTTGGTCAGTTGAAGACATTGTCCGATGTCCACCAGCCCAACTTGTCCTGTTTGAGTCACGTGTGTGCGCCACGCTACCTCACGTTCTGGTGTGACCACAACCTGCGGGAACGTGTACAGATCACCAAACTGATGATTTTGGTGCTCAAACACTGCCACGGAGATCTGCCTGCGATATCTCGTGTAAAGGAAATGCTAGAACTGGTTGAGGTAAGCCGTTTTCTAGAGTGTAAATTTATGCTCAGGTGTTATTTATAGTGTTATTAGTAATATTTTTCACTTGTCCCTGATACACCCATACTTTTAATTTTTGTTCAGGTTTTTGCATTTAGGCCTATTGTGACAAGTTACTGTCATAGATATACAATTGATATAATAATGACAACTAGTGGAACCCCGTCGAAATCGACGGTTAGTCTTGAGGTTTTATGTAAATTCAGCTAACTGCGTTGGATAGAGTGAAGTCATTAAAATCTTAGTTATATGAAGGGAGGATAAGCAATAATAAGTATGACGATTGTGTTCCCTAAAAAACGTGATTGGTGAATTCGTTTAACACAATATTTCCTACCTTTCTTTTTATCGGCTTTAGGTTGCCCAAAAGGTTTTTTAGGAGTCTTATAATTGTTTGTTCATGAGTTTGTTTCATACCAAAGCCACTTTCACTATATGGGAGAATGAGTTCATATAATTAGTCTATCATGTTACGGAAGGAGTCAATATTTATTACTAACCACTAATTCCATCTGCTTTAGGAAAATCATTCAGATTGTATCCGGATTTATAAGTAAATCTTCATCTTTTTTTCTTTTTTTTTATAAAAATATCTGATTCTCCAGAAAGCAGTAACATTCTTACTTCGGTCTCAGCAATTTTAAATCCTTCTCTTGCCACATCGACCCATGTATTTAATCATCCTGTTCTTACTTGATAATTCATTAACTTATGGGGTAGTTTTGCCTTGGCCATATAGATCACATAAAGCTGTGCATGTATTTCGTGGATTGGAATGAACCATAATTGTAGGAAATTTTATCACAAATCTTGAACATTTGCGGAACCAAATCCATAACCTAGTCCAGCATTGGTAACAAATTATGCAAATGCGATGAGATGTGATGACACTGTTGTATTTCCGAATGTTTTGTATGTAGTGAGGTTTTATATACGTTGTTCAACCTAGCTACATGTGTACATCAAAGTAAAAACTGTGTACACATTTTTTTAAATCCCTGAATTGACATTAGTTCACCTACTTTACCAAAACCATAGACTCCGTAGTTAGTCTATTCCAAAACTTGAACACAGCTCTCATCCTTATGTTAAACTTATGTTAGATTTTAAGAACTTTGTATCCATAGAATATAACATTGTAATATAAAAACATTTAAGAGAATGACACTATTCATGTACTTTGTGCTTCAATGAATAAAGAAATATTGAATTGAATTGAATTGAATTGAATTGAATCCTCAACGTACTCATCTATGACACAATTTTCAACCCGATTATAAAAAACTGTTATACCAATAAATGAATCTCAGGTGTTCTTTCTTGAATTTAAAAATAAATGGTGATTGAAAGTAGGAAAAAAAAGGCAAGTGCCAACCTTACAATATGTATAAGCTAACCCGATAAGGAATAGTTATATGTTCCTTTGAAATTGATAAGTCACACTTATTTCATAATTTAAAATTTTCTAAGAGCAATAAAACATAGATTTTTGAACAAAACATTTAAAATGTATCATAAATTCATCATTTAGTTGAAACTATAAAAAACTTGCCATGCAGTGGAGAATCCATTTAAAATCATAAATAATAATGTAAACATTTAATTTTGACAGTTTCAGTAGACCTTTGAATACAATTTTTATATTAACAGCTGGTTCATTAAAAGTAGTGTAAAATTATCCATATGGTCGAAATGTAAACAAAATTGCAGAGTGAACTTTAAAGGCCTCTGGGGCAGAGCCCCAAGGAAAGTTACATCGTTTCTCTTTTGAGGGCTCACCTACAGACCAATACCTTTCTTTAGACACCCCTACCAAGTTTCTACGCCCAGCCGTTCTCTCAAATTAGCTGTGACAAAAACCTCGTTTTCCTCCATAAGAATAACATGGGATGGGAATTTAAAGGCCACTGGGGCAGAGCCCCGAGGGAATTTTCCATGTTTCTCTTTTGATGGCTCATCTACAGACCAGGATCTTTCTTTAGACACCTCTACCGAGTTTCTACACCCAGCCGTTCTCTCAAAATAGCTGTCACAAAGAAAAACAGTTTCAAATTAATATAGATTGTCCAGGTTCAGGTGCTGACTTGATGAGTTAAGCCTATTACGCGCCACTGTTCTGTAGCTACGGTCGTTATCACGATTACGCCTCCTGTCTATGTTTCGTTGTCGTCACGTCGTAGACATTTAGAAGAAAAAAACAACAATTAAACACATTATATCTACACAAAACAACGATAAATGCACAAATTTGAGATACAACCATACTAACACGATCCGTCTTGGGGGTTATGTTTACACAAACTCAAATACTGTAGTAAATAAATGTACTCAATGCGTTTCATTGAATTGAAAAATAAATAACAGCAATTAAATTATACAGCTGATCTAAATGTAAACAATTGTGTTCTCTATAAGGATAACATGGGAACTTTCAAAGCCAATGGGGCAGAGTCCAAGGGACTTTTTCAAAAATGTAAGGCCAGTTTGCAAATCTACGCGACACGCTCTTTCCAATGAGACGTCAATGGATAAAATCGGTTAAGAAATGGCGGAGGAGTTCAACCGACAAAGTTTCATGTAGCGTATTAATTATATAGATTATTATCCACAATTGTCTTATTTATAAAGCCATGTTTTTTGTTGGTTGGAAATTATTTAAATAATCTGTATTTCAACCCACATTGATGCTGAGAATATTTGTTTCAGAGTTCTAAAGCAACAGAAAGAGAGTCTTCTAGCCGTTCAAAAGAATCTCCTTACAAAATTTTACGCCAATTTTATGTTGTACATATAATTCAGCTGATTGGATTTGATTCACTGTAAGTACTTTAGTATTGAAAATTTTACAGACTACTTTATTCCAATCATGTTGTATCGGGAGAGTCTCTTTACAGACTTTTCTAACTATTGTATTTTTTCCATTGAACTTCCTCTGGCATGTAATGTTTACGGCAATATATCTATTCTATTCTGTTTTGAGTATTGTAAATGAAATGAAGGTTTCCAAACATCATCTTGAAGTGAAAATAAGAACTTTTTATTTAGCGTAATGTAATATATGTATAACCTACTAGGAAACCTGCACGGCTCAATAAGTGGCATAGTAAGTATCTTAAATCTCTCTAATTCACCTACATTTCTGCTCTCAGTTTTTTTTATTACTTCTAATGAATGCTAGACATTCTCCTTCAATTTCAGTGAACATGTCTGTAATATATTGCAACAAAGCATGAGAACTGAAGATAATTGTTGCCTTACTGATAATGTGTGTGAAGCAAATTGAAGTTACTTTAGTTCTTTGAGCAGTAGTTCTTTCTTCGATTCGAGGCGTCCCTCTAAACCAACTCTTTTCTCCTTAAAGAAAAAGTAAATGATAGGCCATCGGATCCAATCCTGAAGAGTTGGGTGCTGTATCAACCTCTTCAATGCTCTATCTTTAGGTAAACCACAAACTCTGGGTTACTTACTGGGCAGTCATTGTCTGCTTTGAATAGCAGCAACATAATATGAAGTTGGTCAATTGTAAACACTTTTATATCGTGTTGTCTGTTAGAGTATACGCTTAGCATCCTTACCCACTCACGATGTTGAAGTAGAGTTTCTCTTAAGCTTAATACCACCCCAACCTACCCCAAATTGTTGAAAGCTTTGTTGAAATAGGTGGGATAGCACATGCAAGGGAGTTGGCTAGCAATTTTCATTTTATCTCACTGAGCAGCGTATATAACTTGACTATTAAATACATACACAAAAGGTCCTTCTCTAGTGTTTGGTCTAATATTGCCGGGGCGACGAGCCTGGCATTTGTGTTTCTTGTATTTTATAAGTTTAGACATCAGTGTATATTATTCGCCATGCTCAAATCGCCTTTTGTTGATGTCATGTACCCACTCCATATTTTTGAGATCGTTGTCTTCAGCTACAGCAAACAATAACAACTTTCTTCCTCCTTGTCTGATGTATAGCCATTTAAAAATGTATAGCCTGATATATAACCTGAATAAGTGAATAACCATTTTTACACCCTACATATTTTCTTCAACAAGCTACCCACTTGTTTTTGTAAACTACCGTTAAACCAATTTAAAAGAAAAATTACTGAGTTTTTAAAATCAAAAGCATTCTACACGCAGGAAGAATTTTAAAACAGTGACATATCATGTTTAGATTCTAAATAGGATATTGTATATATTGAAATTTATAATTGATATATGATCTATTTTTAAGTAGGCCTACTATTGTAACAATTCCTATTACAAAACGTTATGTTTAATGGCTGCCATAAATCTTATTGAAAATCTTAAACGTATTTATAACTTACAACACACCGCACTTGTTGACTGCACACTCATAATTAAAGACGAAAGATTACTCTACCGCTGCGGTGCGGAATCGCTCCGGTGTGAACGTGGCGGCGGTGATGGTGGATGGGGGAGTGGAAAAAAACGTGCAGATACTGCCGGTCTCACCGCTCCGGTGTGTGCAGGCCTTAAAAATGAGGGAGTAGTTCTGTTCACAAAAATGGGCTTAGCATATTATATATATGGAATATAGATAGATGTTAAGAGATATCTTCCTGTGTATGCTAAAAACAAACGATGAGTTTAGTAATGTTAATCATATTTTACCAAAGCCTAACAAATAAATACTTGTTTGCTGTAGACTAGACAGATTAAAATATACGCTAAATGAAGGCTGTTACGAACCCTGTAAACGTCTACCTCTAACAGGCTAATATGGTTGAGTTGTACAAAATTATTGAGTCACAGGAATTATAAAATTCATATCTTTCAAACTATTTTTATACCCCCAAAAAAGACTGAATACAACAAATTAAACATTTCTCATATTTCAAATTGTCTCATACATTCTGTTCCAGCTCTGGTGAAGAAGCAAGGTGGACTCAGAAGGAGATGTTCTCAGATATCAATGAGAAGATTAAGTTTGCGATGGACCGGAGAGCCGAAGAAGGGCCGGCTCTGTTGAGTGTTTGGTTCATTGTCCACTTCTTGACTCCACTGGGCACTGGATCCCCGGCTATGAGGGAGTTTATAGCACACACCGTCAAAGCTGCCAACCCGTGGAAATATTTCAATACTTTGCTAACATCACCTGATGTACAGGTTAGTGGAAAGTCAAATCTAGGAGTTTGAAAATCTTGAATCTGAATCCTATAAAAATCTAGTCTTAAATCTACGGGGCTTGTCTGTAAATCATGTGGATTTCCTATGCCACTGATGCTCACCTTCTACTTAAAACGCTTTTCTGCACTCAAGTGTTAAATCTGTCAACTAGCTACAGTAATCAGCAGGGTTTCATACCATTCCTAAAAAAAGTCTACCACTTTTGACTCATACTTGGGAGTTAGCGTAAATGTTGTGCGGTTTTTCATAACAATTTTGAATACTGTGGAGAGAATATCATCCTATAGAGTTGGAAACCAGCCACAATAGTAGAGGATGAAGTAAGAAACATGACTGTGGTCTTGGATTTGAAGTAGCTTGCTTGGCTGTGAAGGAAACACGATTGGGACCTTAACTTACCCTCGTGACTAGGACACAAGTTCTACTTTCATCAAAGTTTCATGAAATCTAATAACTAATCTGATAACTCACTAAACTCTTGATTAAAAACTAATTATGAAATTTACAGCTTGATATTATCTCACAAATTGTGAAAGATTCCCGCAAGAAGAATAATATCACAAGATTCCAGTTATCCTGCCAAAACCCCCTTTATGTTTTTAAACTCGCCTGAAAATAAAATAGAAACACGCTGGGACTTGAAAATCCCTATTTAGACTTGGTTATGTTAATTAACACAACAGTGGCTATTAGCGAATGGTAGGTGTAGTCTAATGTGATATTTTTGTTTCCTGCCGATTTAATCTAATCTTGAATCTGATCTTGATTCCTAACTTGGCTTTGACACATCACTATTACAGTTTGTGATTGTTTACAGGAAACCTTCATAATCATGTATTTATGCATACGTGTGTGCAGTAAACCAATCAATGCATGTTCAATAAAAACAATTGTACAAAACACTCATGATCAACTTGGTATTGTTTTTTATGATTCACAGGATGACAAAGCTGTATGTGCCGCTGTTCACTACGCTGTCTATCAAGTAGCATTCCTCTCTGTAGTAAACTTTGGCCTGGACTATGTGAGGTGTCAGGACTTCTACAGACTGGTCGCTCTGCTTGTGAGGGACAACCAGGTGCTCAAACATTTCTGGCTCACAGAGAACGACGGCCTTCAACTAGTGCTAAGAGAGTGTGAGAGGTTCTTTCCCGTCGTTTGGGAACCCGTGTTTGACATTTACACATCGATCGCTTCTCAGAGTGAAGAATATGTGAACAAGGTAACATTTGTATTGTTTAATCATCTTGAAGTAGCCTATTATAATTTTAACCTAGGAAAATTGGGGACTACACAAGATTGCTGTTTAAAAATACTCAGGCTTAGCTGTGGTTGTTGTCGGTTTTTCTTTTTCGAGTCGGTTTGGCTCTTCTATCTGACTGATTTTCATAATCTTTTTCTTAAATTTAAGGTATGTGTGCACAGATTTGCCATCAAGCTTTGGCGTTCATTTATCTGACGTATATTTCAAGTTATGCACTGTCACGCTCTAATTTGAGTCTAATTTGTGACTGTGGGTCGTAGCTAGGGATCGTAAGGGAAAAAAACAAATATAGAGAAACTAATAAACTACAGTACGTTTTTATTTCCAAGAGAATTAATTCAACATGCTCTTTCTAATAAATAGGAGAATTCATAAATAATTTAATCTTTTATCTAAAACTGTAGTTATTTATTGAGTTCATGCACAGCAAAATGAAAATTTAAAGTCCTAAAGAATATTTGGTCTATATTATTCTAAATATTATTATTTAGATTATGTTTTATTCAGATTGAGAAAAGAGTCGAAACCGAGGTAAAGTTCACCCAGCTCCAGTCGAGGGTGGTGAACATGGAGGCGTTGGGAAACAATGTGTTTCGCAGCCTTGAGCCAGTCAGACCCTTCATAGCCTCAGACCAGAACGTGATTCCCGAGGGAACACGGTGCGTTGTGTCCGGGGAAACTGACATCTACATCCACTGGGACTTCTCCGTCTCCATCTGGCATGTTGTCAAAGAAACGCTCTTCAAGTGGTCACAAAAGGTACTTGTTGACTGATTCTGTTCAAACTGTAGCTGTTGCATGAAATAATCTTTTAAACATATCATTAAGGACTGTCACTATATTGTTGTATATATATCCTCCTCCATTTGAGTTGTTGCTGAGTCTGGGCATTGGCTAAACATCTTCATCTTCTATTGCTCTTCAGAGTTCTTTATCCTCTCTCCTCTGCTTGTCCCTACTCACCGTATCTAGCCAATTTCATTCTATCATCATCAACACCAATTTTTCTACATTCTTTCTCTTATCAAAGCTTTCTCAAATGTCCAAACCATCTTTGATTAGCTTTTTCTACTCTCCCTTTCAAACTCATCAACTACCGCTGTTCTGATCTAATTCCTTACTATCCTGCCTTTTAAAAGTTCCCAAAAATCTAATTTTCCTGGTTGTTTTTTCTTCATTCCCTTATTTATTCCAAACGTCCACCAAGCTTTTGATGATTGGCCTGAGTTATATGTCTTACACATGGCTATTTTTGCCTTAATTTGTTCTTTCCAACCCCATGATAAGTTTTTTTGTACTATTTGTCTGTTCTCCTTTCCTAGAGCTAGGTTTGAATATTTCATTAACAAAAAAATTCAATAGATTACCGGTTTTAGTATCCATGTCAATTTGAAAATAGAAATCCAATATCTAACTGTATACTCTGACATTAAAAATTTGTTTTTTTTTTAGTAACTTTTAAATTAAATATACCGGTAATGCAAGAAATTACCCTTTTTCTAACATAAATTTTTAAAGTAGTTTTAAACAAGTGTGAAACTGGTTTTTGTTTTTCAGATGACTCAGTACCCCAAACCTCCTGAGGCAGAGATGAAACTGCTGCGAACTAACGTGTTGTCTGTTTTGGCCTTTTACAATGAAGTGTTAAAGAATAGAAAGGAGCACAAGAAAATTGTGTTTTTTGCTGTCGATGAAATGTTCTCACGCCTGGAATTGTAAGAGTTAAAATAAGTATTAGAGCCATATATTAGAGACATAATGATTAACAAGTTTGAATTTCCTCTGAAGGTATCTTTCAGAATATTATCTGCAGTCCAGACTTTTTTAGTTCAGATAAAAATGTTGACTCTTGGATCTCATTGAAAAATCTGGTTGTTTCTGAAATTGTAGATTTTTATTTATTTTGCAATATTTGACTATTCTATCAATCGTTTTGAAATTAATTTACTTTCAGGTACCATGAGCGCAAGGATGCAGAAATGCTAAATGCCTGTCTTAAGACCTGTACATTACTGTTAAAGGTAAGTAATTCACTGTTATTGCATGTGTAATTTAAATGTTTAATCAGTATATTGTCCTTTTTTATGAGTGACCGATTTTTTATTTAATATAATTTTAGGGATGGACGGGGTTGAATTTTAAGTTTAGGAAGGGATGGAATTTTTTTCTTCGTGCAAAAAAGGCTTAAACAAATCTTGAGTAAATGATAGAGATCAAAAATGGCAAAATACAACAACAAAATCAATTTTCTGCCTTTGTGGCACTGATTTACAAAAACCATCCTGGAATCCAAAAAGACATTCTGGAACTAATGGCCAGTAAACTTGTTTAAACTGTTGGTGCCATCGTCAACATGTCTTGCGGTCACGGCACAATCGTCAATGTGACCAGCGTTCTTCGTACCATTGTCAATATGTATCCAAGGTATGGCACCAGAAAGAAGATTCCGTGATCAAGGAGACATCATCGTCCCCCACAATACTGGTGACATCTCCTACGGTCACCGAGACTTCATCGTCGTCACTCACTACGTGGCAAAATCAATGACGATCGGATTGAGAAAACCCCAAATCAAATGCAATCTTAAATAGATTAACTATAATAGAGCTGTCTAATATATCTTAAATTTTCTTATCTGTATGGTAACTATCATAATTCACAGTATTAATATTTGCAGGCCATATAATAAAGAATAATTTGCAAATTCCCTTAAAATCACAATTTTGCACAACATTGTTCACACTTAATCCAGACAGTACTTTCATTACTGAATATTAGGGGCCTGTATTTTTCAAATGTAGCTCTGGTGATTGCCTTTAGCTATTGTCGCAAAATCATGAACATCCGCCATGTTCATGGCAAAATTGTCCCTTTGCATATTTCTCAATCTCTACCTGTGTCCGAAAGTAGGTTGTTTTGTCCCGTACCAAATTTCAGGATACCCGCAGACCGCCAATTACAAGTCTACCAATGTAAGGGTTCTCTTTGTGCAGCACTACCCCAAGGACGTGGTGATGCTGCTAAAAGTATCCAGAGCTATTCCAGACATGGACCACGTGGTCATGGACCATGTCACATGCGCCAAAGGTGACTTCTACCACTCCAACGGGGTCAAGACCATCCTGGAACTGGTAGAACTAAACACTGGAACATTCACTGTCCTGGTCTCCTACTTGGAGTTCATACTTAAACTATTTGAGGTATGCTTGAATATTTTTCTTCCACCAGTAAAAAAACTATATGTGTAAACAATCAGAATCATATTAAGAGCTTTGATTCTATGGAGAGGCAAACAGTTTTACTATAGCTGTGCATAAAAATTGTACTCAGTTTGGTTTTCTTCAATTAAAAATTATTAATTCTGTCAGCATACAAGACTTAAGTTTTGATGTATAATGTTTTTGTTCTTTAAATTAAATAACTGCGCTGAAAGGTAGGCCTACTGCTGGTATTGCATTACAAATGATATACTAGAGAAGTATACTTTTTTGGCTCAGTGATAATGCTGCAGTATTGATTTATTATTATAACTGTTCCCACAGTTGCCAACAGTGTTTGAGTCATGGACGGCTCTGGCAGGAGTGCAGTTTGTCCTACGAGATGTCTTCCCCCACTACAACCAGTGGATATTTAGAGACGAGCGGCATCGGATACACATAGAGTGGCTGTGTATCCAGATCATCGGTTGTGTGCTGAGCGTAACCCCGGAGGAGATATATCCGGCGGAAACCAGCGTTTTGAAGAAGATTGACGTTCAAGGCAATCAACCCCTGAATAGCATCCTTCCCACAAAGAATCTTTTTGCCAACACAACTCTTTACCACCTGCTCAATTGGGAGCCTGCCATTGCGCTTATCCATATTGTTTCCATTGGTGAGTCTATTTAAATGTTTGGATTTAGATTGGTTTGGAGTAAATTGTATTTGGCTTTGTAAATTTAGTGTTGGGATAAAGCTAAGACAGTGCAACCAATTTGAAAAGTTTTTTGCCCCTAAAGCCTGTCTTATGTGTGATTATAAATTTTTTTGCAGGTGACCAGCAACTGTTTTCTTGGGTTGAAAGTTTTCACAGTTGGGATTCAAAAAGCTGTGAAGAATTGATCAGTTCAATCCACACTTCACTGGCAATTCTAGACAAGTGTATTCTGCTCAAACATGCCCACAAGGTAAGTGTCATGTCAGTGTCTTACTGACTTATTATTGACCTATCAATTCTTTTGTACATGTTTAGCCTCTGGATCACGTAATTTACTAATAAAAAAAGGTTAAATACCTGTAGTACTGTCTGTGATCCTGGAATTTAGGTCAGCGACCCAGGTTTCGAACCTAAAGGTTCATTTTCAAGCAGGTACCAGAGTTAAAAACACATAATCCTCTTCATAACTGTGGAGAGTCGTTATAACACACAAGACACGAACACGAAAACATTAAACAAAATTGGCCAATTATAATACTGGTACGGTAGCGTGCGTGGTGTAGCCGGCAAAAGATGAGTCATGACTGGGCACGCGTACGCGTCGATGTCGGAGCGTGACAAAGACAACGGGTGTGGGAGGGGGCACATACGTCACGCTCCGACATCGACGCGTACGCGTGCCCAGTCATGACTCATCTTTTGCCGGCTACACCACGCACGCTACCGTACCAGTATTATAATTGGCCAATTTTGTTTAATGTTTAATGTTTTCGTGTTCGTGTCTTGTGTGTTATAACGACTCTCCACAGTTATGAAGAGGATTATGTGTTTTTAACTCTGGTACCTGCTTGAAAATGAACCTTTAGGTTCGAAACCTGGGTCGCTGACCTAAATTCCAGGATCACAGACAGTACTACAGGTATTTAACCTTTTTTTATTAATTCTTTTGTAACTTGAAATTTTATTTATTTATTAAAATACATCACATAACGCCTAAGGAGTGCTTCTTCTGCACGCAGTAGTATTGCGGTAGTATTTATCACCCTCTTTTCCTTCCCTATAGATCGGGAAGGCTACATTTAGTGGCCCTGTCCATTTTTTTAATGACGCGACATTGTCAGCCCTGAAGGTAGACCTGCAGCATGTGTAGTGCAATTCCGGTTCAGGTTGGCTGGCCACCCCATAGTGGCCCCTGTTTCTCTCTATAATATTTAGCTTCGTAATATGTATTCGATTCTCTCAGCTTGGGAGGTGCTGCGCTCCTTCAACAATCATCAGAACTATTTGGAGACAACAACAATCCGTTGGTTTTATGAGCTTACAACAATACTATCACGTGTATCCTTTGTGAGTTATCAGCTTGTGTTGTGAAATCGTGTTTTTAAAGCCTTTTGATTTTTAATAAATTGATATTTATGACCTTAAATGGCCTCAAATAGAGACCTAACATCCGATATTATACAGGATTTATTACAAGTCTACGAAGATGACAATCTTTCCATTTTGTTTGAGTTTGAAAGTGTAGAGGAAGATCAGAATTTTATTTCATTTTTTTTATTTCAACGGTTTTATATGCAATACAACTTCATATTAATTTGTTTTAAGTACTAAGGCTTTAAATTAATATTACCTATGTTCTTTCTATTTATCATTAAACTTATATAAAGTTGGTAATTTGCATAATACTGTACAATAAATAATAATCACAACTGGATTTATAGTTTTTTTTATATATCTTTATAACATTATAACTGTAAATTAACCACTTTCATTGCTTTTGAAATGGTTTTAACCATATAGATTCTTAGTTTTTAATTATATTTAAGAATATTAAATAATTTAATTGTTATAAACGATCAAATATTTGAGTAATAAAGTTGTTGTTAAATACGAGTGTACATAATTGAATCCTAATGATATGAAATGAAATGAAATGAAATGAAATCAACTTTATTCATACTTTGCAAACATACGCACGAATGGCGTTATTACATTGGATCAAAAGCATAATGCTTAATCCTAAAAAAGTACAAAAGATATAATCACTATTGAAAAAGTTCTTATTCTAATATATTATGTAAGAGGAAAAATTCGTTCTTTGAATACAGGGGATTGGTTAAAAAGTACATTTTTAGATTATTTTTAAATTTTGTAGTCCTTGTGTAGTCCTTTAGTTTTGTTGGAAGAGCATTGTAACATTTTATACCCATATACATTGGTTTTTTTTCAAAAAATCTTAATCTATGTGAAGGTGTTGCATAGTTATTTCTGTTTCTGGTACAATATTGATGAGAATCCCCTACCAGTGAGACATTATTTGAATTTTTGACAGTATATAATATACATTGATAGATATAATAGCTATATACAGTCATTATGCCTAGTTCTTCAAATTTTTCCCTAACAGAATCTTGCCAATCCAAATTTAACATAATGTGTATTGCTCTTTTCTGGAGAATTAAAATTCTGTCTAAATTAGCTTGTGATGTTCCTCCATAAATACTTATACCAAAGGATAAATGTGAGTGAATATGAGCAAAATAAACCAATTTTAGGGATTCAAGTTTACAAAATTTTGATAATCGATAAAGTGCAAATAGGCCTGTTGACATTTGATTTGCCACATGATCAATATGATCATTCCAGCTTAATTTACTGTCTATGTATAATCCTAGAAATTTAGTGTTCTCAACAATTTGTATATCTTCACCGGCTAATTTTAGTGCTGGGTAATCTGAATTGGTATTAGTTTTTAGATTAAAGCGTGTAAAATTAGTTTTGGAAAGATTTAGTAATAGCTGATGATCTGAAAAAAAGTTATTGATGTTCATCAAGTTATCGATGGCAGATTTTTCTATCTCATGAACAGATTTTCCGCTTACAAGAAGATTAGAATCATCGGCATATAAACAGATGGTATTCATTGTTGAATTTGAAATAACATTGGGTAATCCATTGATATATGTAAGAAATAGTAGAGGACCCAAAATAGAACCCTGTGGTACACCATGTTTAATTGTTCTCAACTGCGATCTTGTTTTATCTGGTTATGATTGTTTAAGTGTGTAATTTCTACGAACTGTTTCCTATTAGTTAAATATGATTGAAACCATTTTAGTGAAATTCCTACAACCCCTAGTCCTTCCAATTTTTTTAACAATTTATGATGAGATACACTGTCAAATGCTTTGCTTAGGTCCATAAATATTCCAATTACTTTATCTTTATTTTGACTTGTTTTTAGGCTTGTTTTGTTTTGCCTAAAAATAGGCTGTTTATGTTTATGTAATAGCTGAATTTTCTTGACTTTTGTCTATTGCATTTGTTGTAAATGTTGAAGGACAATAAAACGTTTCTGATTTCTGATTTCTGATTTCTCCCCTATCTACAGAATCAATTATTGACTCAATATATGTAGCAGCCGCTGATATTACAGAATGGTTTGATCTAAAACCGTGCTGCTCTTTATCGAGTAGATCATTACTTTCTAAAAAGTTAACGAGCTGATTATACATAGCTTTTTCATAAATTTTAGACATGACAGGTAACAAGGCTACTGGGCGATAGTTTGAAACATCTAATTGGTCCCCTTTTTTATAAAGAGGTTTTACTTTAGAAATTTTTAATTTATCTGGAAATATGCCGGATATAAATGATGAATTTACTATGTGTGCAAATGGTTTTTTAAGTGAACTCTGGGCATGCTTTATTACTGTTATGGGAACATCGTCGAAGCCTGATGATAGTTTATTATCAAATATGGAAATTATTTTAATCTGATATCTGTCTCACTGATTGGTTCACATCTAAATTTATTTTTTTGGTTATTTATTACTAAATTAGGTACTGATAAATTGGGTGTATTTATTTTTGGAATTACATCAGAATCAACTACATTGACATAAAAATCATTAAAAGTGTTACATATAACCGTAGGGTCATTATATACTTTTGAATTTACCTCTATTTCATCTATGCTCTTCACAACCTTTTTTTTGTTTTTTATATTTAAATTAATTAAATTCCAAGTTGTCTTGGACACATTCCCTGATCTCAAAATTTTTCCATCCATATAACTTTGTTTGGCTTTGAAAATATTTTTTTTTTAATGCTTTGTTCATTTCTTTAGCTGAATTCACTAAAGATTCATTTTTTGTTATCCTCCCTAATGTGCTTTTTTCTATAATTTTTTTCCTCTCGGTTTCTAGCTCATGATTATTCCAAGGGACTTTTTGATCAGTATCTCTACATTTAGTAATAGGAAAGCACATATCAAAGTAATACATAAAAATACTGTTGAAGATGTTAAATTTCAACTCTACTGGTGCAAAGTAGACCTCCTCCCAACCCTCCTGACTCAGCATATTTGAGAATTTTTTAAGATTTTGGTTAGAAAATATTCTTACTGATTTGGTTATTGGTTTATTGTTCATATTTTTATTGGGCAAGTTGAAGGTTAATAATTGAGCATCGTGATCAGAGATTTGTGTGTTTAAACCACTAATTTGCATGTTGTTGGGATAAAAATTAATGAAAACGTTATCAATAGCACTCTCAGTCTTTTCAGTTACTCTAGTTGGAAAATTTACTAAAAATTCAAAATTATGTGAGCCAAGAATATCATTAAGTAGTCTAAACTCATTACAGTTTGGGTTTAGAACATTTATGTTAATGTCTCCAGTCATAATTACATTAGTGTATGTTTTTGAGAGTATTTCCAGGGATGCATTTAGTTTTGCCAAAAAGATATTAACATCAGAGATAGGAGAGCGATATATACCAGCTAGCACAAAAGAAAATGAATCACATTTAAATTCTATCAAACAGCATTCAAATTCCTTTTCAGATGTTAACTGATTCATTGACGGTAAATTCAAACTTTTAATTTTAAAATTTTTAGCCTTTAAATTTGTTTTTGATAGTATTATGACTCCACCTCCAGCATTTAAACTACGTGAATAAAAAGTGTTAATATTATATCCGGTTATGGTGAGAAGGTCCAATTCATGACTTTTAATTTTGTGTTCACATAATACTATTATATCTGGGTCAATTTCTTGAATAGTAATTTCTAATGGTTCTATTCTGCTCGGTAGATGTTGAATATTAAGGTGAAAAATTTTTAAGATGTGTGAATTTTGTGATATTTTATCGTGTGCTGCTGGTTTACAATTTTTTACTTTATTGGTATATTTTTCGGAGTGTCGGAGTTTAAAGGTAGGTTGTGTTTATGGGCTGTGTGAGATTGAGGGATGTCTAGGAAGTGGGAATTGTCGTTATCTTGTCGCCCACACTCACTTTCACTCACACCGGACTGATTCAGATCACGCATCACTACACTGCCGGACCGACTAGAACCCTTAGGAGATGGTTGCTGCTGCGTGATGTAGCTGATGTCACTCATTCTCTTGATTGGACAAGGTGTGGAGGTGTTAGTGTCTGTGAGCTGCTCTTGGAATGCTGTGATGTCCGGGACAGGCAGGTGCGAAGTTATTAGGCCTCTCAATGTCTCTACAAACTCTTCATGGGAAAGTCCTCTCCATAAGCTTCTTCTTGCATTTTGGTTGTATGAAACTATAACTACATTAGCCTTGGTTTGCTGGTGAAATTTGACGATGTTTTTGATGAAATGCTCAGGCTTAATGAGGTCTCTAACGCAGCCCATTGCTGAACAGATTAAAGTTTTCAGCCGCTTAGACCTGAAATCTGTTTTAAGTTGATCAAAAGCTACATCATAGTCAATCTCACTAGGTTTGCCTGAGAATCGGTTTTTTGTGATCAAACTATATACAGTAGGCCCTCCATTCATTCTTTGACAGGCCAACCTGCTGTACACCAGATCACGAAAACAAGGACGTCCGTACCTCTCTCGGAAGGCAACAGCCACACCAGCAGACATGTGATTCGGATGCTGAAAGTCCGATGAGATGGTATGGGCCAGAGCAACTGAGGAATCCTGGTTAATTTTTCCAAAAATATCCTTCATATTGGTTTCTATTACAGATATTCTGTTTCCTATGAGGAATGGCTGAGAAGAGTTTGAGTTTGTGTTTGTTGTAGGCTGTGCTATTTCAGTCTTTCCTTCCCCTGTGATAATTTTCACAACCATTTCAGATACTCTTGCTTTCCCTCTCTTGTTTAGATGTTGCCCGTGGTTTGTAAATAGGTGGCGAGGTAGATGGTGAAGTGGTAAAGTGAAACAGTTATTTTTAGTAGCCATTTCTTCCAATTTCTTATTGATACTTGAGATTTTTAAGTCTAAATTAGGTTGATCATACCTCAAAGGCAGTGTTGCTAGAATCAAGTTTGGATCTTTGGATCTTTCAAACAGACTCTGTACTTCGTTCAGGAATTGTTTTGTGATAACCAAATTTACAGTCATATGTTAGGTTAAACATCGGTGTTTTGGAGTTAAAAGGCTCACAACACGGTATTTAAACCCAATCGTAAGCATAAAAACAAGAGTAGTGGGAGTAGTAGGTAAATGATCTAAATATCTTCCTTAAACCATTGAGAAGCTACTTAGCCTTTTTTATCTTTATGATTAACGGTCGAGTACTAAAAAGAAAGGGGTTTTTTTAACAGTTAACTAGTTTTTAAATTGTAGGTTATACGGACACAATATTTCGTTGTCTAGGAGACTTTGTCAAGTGGGCATAGAGCTTTCCTTGAACCGAACCTACTAGATTTTAAGCTAGTTTGAACATTAAATAAAATCAGACCATAACTTTAGAAATAAAATATTACTCTGATCCTGGTGATAATTGACCAGTGTTGCTCTAGGTTTTCTAAAGGTTTTTTTTTAAAATTTGCCATTCTAAAATTTTTGTTTAAAAAAATAATCTAATGTTTAATGTAGAGCAATTTTTTTTCTATCAAAGTTCTAGTACGGTGTGTAAGTCACAGGTGTTATTGTTTACCAGGACTACAAGAGCCTGACTCGGCTAGAGAGGGAGATCTACAAGGAGCCCAAGGAGACTGACACATACAAAGTAGTGATCAACACAGCAGGATATGTCTACAACTGTCTCAGTCCAGACGTGCGTTACAACTCGGTCAAAGTCATATCCAGGTTTGCAGATGTGAGTATAACAGCATTGATCTTCAATGTTTCAGTTGTTTTTGTCTTTTTCAATTACCACGTTGCACATATTATCCCTCAAACAAAAAAGTATGTACAGTATAACCTCACTACAGTCGGGACCACGTAAGTTAGCAGTTGAGGGAGGAGCCTATTTACCATATGGTTTTGAATGAACCAATGAGAACCGTGCGGTGCTGCCAAATCTAATGATACCAGCTGAGTTGAAAATATTGCTTAGTATATTTTAATTATTGTTGTCAACGGGCGATGTGGTAACGTCGCACTAGCCTTGTCTTGTGATTGGCTGCCACCAACTGCAAACTTACGTGGTCCCGACTTTAACTCAATTTGTAGACCCAGGGGTTGTCGAGTTAACCAGAACATAACATTAACATTTTTAACGGGTGATAAATGAATACATAACGGACTAATTTTCATATGTAAATTCAATACTTACATGAGTATTTTTACATATTGAGTAAACAATCTTCAAAGAAATGTCAAATATTCAACAATTAAAAGTTGAGTTACACAGGCTTAGTTAACCGGTGTCCTAAATTAACCAGAACATAACATTAACATTTTTAACGGGTGATAAATGAATACATAACAGACTAATTTTCATATGTAAATTCAATACTTACATGAGTATTTTTACATATTGAGTAAACAATCTTCAAAGAAATGTCAAATATTCAACAATTAAAAGTTGAGTTACACAGGCTTAGTTAACCGGTGTCCTAAATTAACCAGAACATAACATTAACATTTTTAACAGGTGATAAATGAATACATAACAGACTAATTTTCATATGTAAATTCATTACTTACATGAGTATTTTTACATATTGAGTAAACAATCTTCAAAGAAACGTCAAATATTTAACAATTAAAAGTTGAGTTACACAGACTTAGTTAACCGGTGTCGAGTTAGGGAGGTTTTCCTGTACTAGTTAAAATCAATCAAATAATGCATTTACTTACTTTTCTACAATTGGTTAGCATAATACCGTGGACTAAAAACGTTATTCATATTTTAAACTGACCAAAGTATGACTGGTCTGTGAAAGAACTGTGCCTGAGCTGATATTTGTGAATCAATTGACTTTTAACTAGGCAAGTAAAAATGTTTCGCATTTACACTCCAGTCATCTTTAACTTTAAATATGACATATTGGCATGGTATCGATTTAATAAGATCCAATATGACTGGGACGGGTGGCGTCGTCCTGTAATCCAGCTACTAGGAGGTCACAGATTGTGGATATTTATAGGGATGCACTGTGGATGCGATGCTCCCTGGTGTGGATTAACGTCCGCACTAGTGAGTACTACGACTATCCGCAGTACTATCCTGATAATTAGACCAATTCGTAAATTACAAGGAAAAAATGTGGTTCGGATTCCACTATAAACTGTAGGTCCCTTAGTTGCCATTAGCTGTAAGGGCTATTAATTAACAGCTGTGTCTAAGGAACATGTCGGCCTTAGTCACTAACAAGACTACAAGATCGCGCCACTCATCCTACACTCATCCTTCACTCATATTTGGGTTAAAATACACACATAGTGGCGTCCCCATCTTAAATAATTGATAATTGATAAAACACAACATAGAGTAAGGAGAGTGTAGATGTTCTTAATACATGTGACAGAAGTGTGTTGTATTTCACAGAACAGACATCAGTCACTCATGGCCTGTATTGGTATGGAGGCCAACACAATGAGGCAGATGTACCTCAAACCCCTGTACTCATCCACAGAGTCAGAAGAAATAAAGGTACCTAGTATTAGTTTTTGTAATAAAATTGTAACTTTTTTTTCGTAGTATCAATGACTATACTTAGTTCTCTTTTATGACAATAGTTGGCTACAACAGTTTTGCATTTCTCATCAATCTCTGAAGGAGTCTACGCTAGCTCAAAATATCAGAGTCATGTTGTTGGACGTTCTTTGTCTCTTAAATCCACTAACTTACGTTTCACATATTTTAGCTCCACTTATTAATCTGTAGATAAATCTCTTCATCTCATGGCTTTTCATTGAATGAGCATAAAACTTTGCCTGTTGAAGTAAAGGATTTTCATTCATTCATTCATTTCATTCAAAACTAAGCTATCTAAATTTCCTGAGACAATTTCTAACATAGCCAAATGAATTATATCCTCATTCAAACAGTTAATATTCTATGACCGTTCTTTATTAATTAATGTACGGAGGATTTGATTATGTCTCATTTCATTGATGAAATAAGCAGTCAACTGATCTGAGGTAAAGTGATAAAAATACGCACCATCTTAGAATCAGAACATGATTCTTCTAGCTTTATCCATATAGCAGAACCATAAGGGAATTCAAATCAAAATTTGTCTACCATAAGAAAAAAAACCTTCAGCTCTCAGCATTTAATTACCGTATTTAGATTAACCTATCTAAATAAGATTAGATTAGCTTACTTTGGCCGTTGTGTTCTGATTAAATTTACAACTTAAAATGAGGTTACTAACCTGTCGTCAATCAGTCCTATATTGTCGTTGATGACTAGTTTCGGGGCTAAAACCCCATTTTCAAATCTTCTCTTCAGTCGTCATATGTCAAACATATCTTCTTGCACAAGCCGTCGTCATTATTTCACACATACACATAACACATACGAAAACGTTTATAATATAATACAAAGACATGTACATTCGCGTGTGGCCGGCCAAGGACAAAACCAGACTGCGGGGTTTGATAAGACTGTAGGTTAGCCGATGCCTACTTGATGGTGGTGGCCTGATTGACGACAGGTTAGTAACCTCATTTTAAGTCATTAAATCAATCCTGGAGGCAAATTATGTATAAATTTACAAGTTGAGATGACCATGTGTTGTTGGAAAGGTGGCAGTTCTGGAGCTGGTCACAGAATGCGTTCACAAGCAAGCAAGTCTAGCTGAGGCGTTCTTGAACGCTTTAGAGCTGAAGGAGTGTGTACAGAAAAAATCAGGCGAAGAATCAGAGGGTTTTGTACACATTGCCCTGGCCATCATTCGGAAGGTACGTTTATCTACCACAATCTGTGCCAAATACAAATACAAAATCAACTAGATATGAAACATTCTAAAATTGATTGTAACACCATAAAGTACTAGGTTGGCATTAACTGAGCAAGAATATCAGCAAAGTTTTTATTACTGTGTTCTAGATGTATTTTAAATTGAAAATACACCTGGATTTGGAATACGAAAATAAAAGGTATTAGTAATCTGACACATACTTTCTCCCATTTTGTCAACAACCTTTATCATGGGTAAGAAAGCAGTGAGAATAAGTATAATATTTAATAGGTAAAATCACAAAAGTTGCATTAACTTAACTTTTGACGGTAATTATTACAGGAATGGGAAGTTGCACAATTTTTTTAGAATCATAGGGACCATTACATACTAATTTCAATCAAAACCGGATTTGTTTCAAAAATCAAATTTTCTCTTATTTTATGGGTTTTTATGGAAAAATCACCATTAAAATTCTAAATAAAAAAAATAAATAAACACCTCAATATACTATGGATTAGTACCTACATACTAAATTTAATCAAAATCGGACCACAGGTGTGCTCTGTAGCTCTGAACATCCACATATACAGACAGACACACACACGAACAGACATCACTTCAAAAAACACTTTTTTGGGTTCAGGGGTACTCAGATCGGATATACCCACTCAAGTTCAAAAATGTTGACGAAAACAATACTTTTTCTATATACTATGTATAGGGGGAGAAAGTAAAAGAATATTACAATTTACTAGCTTGAATAAAGAACCGCAGGTACCATACTAATCCAAGTAACTGTTTTTAATTGATAATGTCATTTTTTACATGTCACTCTGTTCCTGTGTTCAGATGTGTTATCTGTGTGCTTAGATTGCTGTTGCTAATTTGAGAGCGTATGGCTCTGGGTAACATATTATTGTTACTGATTGTAGCGCAAGGAGACTCCGAGTGACAGAGCGTACTTGGCGAGTGTTCAACTTCTCCATGCTATCTGGCATGAGCGTCGCACTCTAGTCATATCCTACATCCGCATGAGGGATAACTTCTTCAACAACTTCTGCTATCCTCTCTTTCATGTTACCAAGTGGCAGAGGTAAATAAAGATTTGTTTTATTTAACTCAATATATTATAATTGTAAAATAGTGTTATTTGACTATAAGTTTAGGAATTGAGTATAATTGGACAAGAGGGGACAAATAATGCTAATAGTTGTTACTGATTTTGGGCCGCTGACGCTTGGGTCGCGGTAGTCGGTCGGTAGTGCCTCTGAGGGCCTTTTAGTATTTTCGTATTAAAAATGTATTATAAAACAAAACTACGAAACAAAAAAATTTCATCAACAAAATGACATTCTACAACTTACAATGAAAGCAATATTAAAAAAACACTAAACTGCCTTACCAACATGCCCGAGGTGGAGTAGTTCGGGCCACTGACACTACTCTGCAACAGCGCTGTTCAGGTAACGGTAGCCTCCATTGATTGTCCACTCTAGTACATGTATACTCTACCTACACAAGAGTAAATTTACCTGGAACATATCTGGAAGTTTTCTCAAAATGTAGCATAAGTCCTCGGCATACAGATTACATTGTGCTGTGTATATAATATTTCAGTACAAATTATTGTAAATACCTTGTAGAAATCTTGACTGAGAGTACGAATTTGAAGATAATTAGGATCTCCACACTTTGATAAGTCAAATATCATTAAAATTATCTCTATGACTCGGGACTCAAAAATCTTAGTCTCCTAAATTTTTGAGTTGGCCAGAGTCAGCTGTAACCAAACTCTTACCATCTCACCGAGTAATACAACAAGCTGTAATCCATAAAGATTCAGCGTTGAATTAAAGTTGGTCTTAATAATTGATAGATAATAAATAATGATAGTGGTTCAAATACCTTATTCTGGCTTGTTACCTGGATTGTTGTATTCCACAACTAATTTCAACTTCCGCATTATCAACACGGGTCCGCTTGTCGAATTCAATTTTATATTTTATTGGCTGTATATGTTTGCGCATTATGTGTTTATTCGTGTGTATGTGTAAGTGTAAAAAACTGTTACTGACAACCTTCATATGAAGTAATATCCTTGTACGCACCTGATGATGACCTCTTAGCAGGTTGAAACTAGTTGTGCAATACAACAATCAGATTGCCAGAATAAGGTATTTAAACCACTATCATTAGTTATTATTCGCAATCCGGAGGCTACTCCCACCACAATGAAGATAATAAATGTTTGTATTTTGTTTCAGACAAGTCATTCCAGCCTTTGCCTACATCCTGACCTGCCTCGGAACTGAGATATTCTGGTATAAGGACCAAGTACACGAATCTCTCAAGAAATTTTTGACAGACCTTTTCAAAGAAGGCCACATAACCCGACTATCTGTGGTAAGTTAGAAGTCAGTTTTGTGTAAAACTAAGAAGAACAAACAACTAAACTGATTTATTTTGCAGCCTAAAGTTTTGAATTACCATGATGTTTAACTGGGAAAATGTACTCAAAAAGTGGCTGATTAAGAAAAATTTTAAACATAAAAATTTAAATTAAAAAAAAAATTTAAATTTTAAATTTTAAAAATTTTTAATTTTAATACAGGGAGTTATATCAACATAAAATAATTGAATTCACCACTATACGAAAAAATAATATAATGCAAACGTTTTTGACAAACAAAAACTCAACTCTGGTGAAAACATTTAAACAATAAACCAACAACTCTTGTTTTTTCTAAAATTGGTATCATGACTGTATATGCAATGTACATTTATGAAACTATAATTTCTGTGAAAAACCGTCAGGACCAACTTCATTTTGTTGGAGATACTCATAATTATAATACAAGATTCAGGAATAGAATTGGCATTGACAAACATAAACTTGGATTTTATGAAAAAAAGCCAATGTATATGGGGTCAAAATTTTATAATATGTTACCAAAAGCCATTAAATCTGAGAAAAATATTAATAAATTCAAAAATCAACTAAAAAAATATCTTATTGATTTAACATTATATTCTTTCTCCGAATTCCCATGTAAAAATGATGTGTAAAGAAAGTTTTTAGTTCTGTTTTTCTTTTCATGCATATAACTATATATTTTGTTTTGACAGCCTTATTATTAACCAATCTTAGTTATAATGTATCTTAGTATTCATTAATATTGACACCATTCTATGTACAGAGTACTAATATTGAATAAAGATTTTATTGATTGATTGATTGATTGATTGATTGATTGCAAAAATTACTCATTATCAATCCAGGAGGCAAACATGGATAAATTTCATTTTGGTTGAGCATGGGTTAGTGTCAGATAGAATATGTTTTTCTTGTAATTCTTGCATGTAGATTTCTGCTAATATGGATCATAGTTCTCATGGACAGACTTTGAGGGTCATAATGTATTTTACCATAATAAAGAAGCTTTATTCAGTTCTTTTCTTATGGATGCAGTTATTTTAAATACTTAAATACTAGAATTGGTTCAGTCAAAATGTTATCTAAGGAAGAGAAAGATTGAAAATTACCATCTGATACAGGGGCCCTAGGACCATTTGGGAAGAAGAAATTAACAAAAAAGAAAGATAATCAGTACCTATGTAAACAGTGAAGAACTATTAAGAAAAAAAGACAAAATAGATCTTTTTTGGCCAAGAAAAAATAGATGAACATCAAAACAACTGACGAAGGTGGTCAAATGTGTAAGATAATGGAAGAAAGGTCTTGCAAGTGCAAATTTTAGTTTGTAGCTTCTGGCTTTCTGGATCAACTTGCTAATTTGGGTTTTTTTAATGCCCGATCTTAAACTACATTTTTCGTAGTAGGTAATCTGAATAGAATAAACATCATAAAAGAAATATACAGGGTGTCCCGGAACTCTCTACCAATATTTTAGGGCATTGCTCCTGGGTAAGAAACATAAATAAAAATCATATTTAAATTGTCCGGAAGTCCTTAGTTACTCACACAGTCGCCATTTTGTTTTTTTCAGTTATTAATTTTTTTCAAAAGAATGGTTAAACATACGAAATGGAAACTTTGTACAAACTTTTATGACAACTAGACAAAGCTACCAAAAAATTATGACGATTTTTAAAATTCATAAAATAAAATGGCGGCCGTTTAAAATGTTTGTAAAATCAACGGTTTTCGAGTTATTTAAGAAACAAAATTGTTAACGGCCGCCATTTTGTTTTATGAATTTGAAAAATCGTCATAACTTTTTGGTAGCTTTGTCTAGTTGTCATAAAAGTTTGTGCAAAGTTTCCATTTCGTATGTTTGACCATTCTTTAGAAAAAAATTAATAACTGAAGAAACAAAATGGCGGCTGTGTGAGTAACTAAGGATTTTCGGACAATTTAAATATGATATTTAGGTATGTTTCTTACCCAGGAGCAATGCCCTAAAATATTGGTAGAGAGTTCCGGGACACCCTGTATAAAGAACTAGGGAAAAACCCGTCGAAATCGAAAGTTACTCTTGAGGTTTTATGTAAATTCAGCTAACTGCGATAGAGTTAAGTTTTTAAAATCTTAGTTTAAATAAGGGAGGATAAGCATAATAATGAGTATGACGATAGTGTACCTTAAAAAACGTGATTGATGAATTCGTTGAACGAAGTACTTCCTGTCATTTATCGGCTTTAGGTTGTCCAAAAAGTTTTTTTTGGGGGTCTTATAATTGTTTCATGAGTTTTGTCTATGCAATTTTGATTTCTTCTCTTGCTACATTGACCAATGTATTTAACATCCTGAACTTAGTTTCTAATTAATTAACTTATTGCGTAGTTTTGTGAAATCGTGCTTGGAGGTTGCTGTAAAACTTGATCTTTATTGATATGCGAGCCCAGTCAATTGCCTTGGCCATTTCGATCACATAAAGCTGTGCATGTATTTAGTGGATGGGATGGACAATAAATTGTAGTGAATTTGACCACAAATCTTAAACATTTGGTGAACTACATTCATAACCTAGTCCGGCTTTGTTGGCAACAAATCATGCAAATGAGATAAAATATGATGGCACTGTTGTATTTCCACATGCTTTGTATGTAGAGAGGCTTAGATGCATTGTTCGCCCTAGCTAGATATGTACATCAAAGTAAAAACCCTGTACATTTTTTTAATACTCGATTTGACATTAATTCACCGACTTCACCAAACCCATATAGATTCAATAAGATTTATTGCAGCCATTAAACATAACATTTTGTAATAGGAATTGTTACAATAGTACTTAAAAAAAGATCATACATCAATTATAAATTTCAATATAGGTATACAATATCCTATTTAGAATCTAAACATGATATGTCACTATTTAAAAATTCTTCCTGCGTGTAGAATGCTTTTGATTTTAAAAATTCAGTAATTTTTCTTTTAAATTGGTTTGAAGGTAGTTCACAAAAACAAGTGGGTAGCTTGTTGAAGAAAATGGGTCCGCGGAATTGGCTAACTCTGGAACTCGCTAACCCCATGTTAAAAGCCCTATCTTCAAATTTGGTCGATGAGAGGAACTCGCTAACTTGTTCGGTTTCGGAATTGGCTAACTCCGGAACCCGCTAACCCGCTCTAGAGCCGGGTTAGCGAATTCCGTCCTCGTACGGAAGTCGCTAACTCGGTCCCTCGGCGGAACTCGCTAACTCCCAATCAGAAGCCTCGCGATCCGTCCAATGGGAGCCAAGCACGAATATTTTTGGCCAGTGTTACCGAAAGTGTAGTACCTATATAGTATTGGTACCATAATGTCGTATCCTACGATTTATTAGGAGTAAGAGCAACGTAGTTGATCAAATAAATATATTGAGAGAAGTATGTTTAACATTATTCTCATGATTATTAGGGTGGAAAATGCATTATAGTCTTACCATAGACTAACCAACACAAGTAAACTTTATATCCCATTGTAAACTTTGAAGCTCGTTTTTCGCGTCTAGTTCATGTCCGGTGACACTGATCGCTAGTGTCGACAAAATTGTATTTCTATAGTTAACTTCATAATTTGCTCTTTACTGTTTGGTTATATAACTGGGGACGTGTTATTAGTTGTGATTAGAACGTTTTATTTGGTTAAACGAGGTTTTAAATGACTAGAAACAAGAAACAATTGTAAACAAAACACGACCTCTAAAGACAGTGCACCGGACAGAACTAACAATAAAACTGTTTTCAGCTGATCCATAAGGATTAGAAATATACTAATATAGGCTAAGGGAGTATGTTTTATATTTGGGCTTCTTACTTAAATAGTAGCTTAATGGTATGCAAAAAGATAAAAATGTACATTTAATTTGGATCTTTTACATGTTATGAAATATCTATTTTGGTAGTTCGCCATTTGTTTCTTTTATTCGAATAAATACCATTTTTTGAACTTCTGAAAATAAATTATTGAGTTCGTATTTTATATACTGGGCTTGTAACCTTGAATCATAAAATTGAATCATAAATCGTGATAAAATTTACACGTTAACCAGACGTTAAACGTCAGTCCAGAAATACATTGTAGTGGTAATGTATTTTTAAATAGAGCTATTAAATTTAAATACATATTTATCAATACAATATTATAAAGTTGTAGACCTAATTTATTCATAGATTGCATTAAAAATTAGTCTATGCATAAATACAACTTGTAAATTTCTTTCATCGTAGGCTATTAGTGTAGAACCCGGGTCATCCTCTTAATTTTGTTTAATTAATATTAATTTTACGTCTTTCAGTAAGCCTACTTTTTTAAAGTCTGGAGTTTTTCTCCAGGCTGGTTCTAAATCGACCCAGGCGTTCTTGTTTGTTACAATTCTTATGAATTGTGGCCATACCTAAAATTACTTTGATCTTATCCAAAAACAAAGCTATTGTCTATTGAGTAGCTCAGTACCGGGGAACGATGAACCGAGCAATGGCTTGGTATAGTTTATTTCGATTGTGAAACCAATGTAAAGGAAACCCAACTGAGAAAATCCGTCAATTCGTTGATTAAGAATCGTGAATTAAAATTACCCTGTCACGTTTTATTATACGAGTATTATATCTTCTATTATTTACTAGTGGTGCTTAGGTGTACAATCTAAAAACTGTTTAAAACATGTAACATTATTATTAAAAAATTCAACACATTTTAGAATTAGGCAACTATTTACTAGTAGGCCTACAATGATTTGGCTTAAACTATTAGGCCTAGATAAAAGCTTAGTCTAATGTCATATTTTTACACGTAAGTTGGACGATTCAACGACGAACATTTAATTTTAAATCTATGAATTAGTTATGAAAGTTACGATGGTTGATGACTGATGGTTGAAGTTTGATGACATTACGATTAAATTTGTTTTCCGTGTTTGAGAACTAGCGCGTATTTTAGCTTAATTTCGTAGAGGTTTAATTA